AAATTACTTGTGCTTAATTAATAGACTGAAGGATAGAGAGGGAGTTGAGCCGCCTGCAAAAAGGAGGCGATACGACTAGTCTTTTCTTGTCTTGCTTCTAATCATAGTCACTTCTCTGTACTTTTAGCTCACGCTTTTTCTCTCGCATTGAGACCAAAAACAAAAAATAGGATCATCAGCAAAACCAGACGTGTGTCCGACTTTGCACAATCGGAGTGATGGCTATAACTTAAATGTAGAAAGGGGAAGATAGTGGTCATCAAACCGAGGACAGACGTTACTTTTGCTGTCCTAATTACTTTTGAGCCATCACTGCGGATTTCGTGCATAAGTGAACACAAACAGGCATATACACACAATGGGCAGACACACTAACAGGCTTCGAAGTTGACATATGACCGAAACTAACCAAACCATTTTATACCTGATCAAGGAGACCAGATTTAGAGTGTATATACCGCTTTTTATGGATTTTCAGGTGAGTTTTCTTGACTCATTGTGATGATGATACCATTCTCTGATGATGTTCGTCATATGACTGACGAAAGCTTAGCACCTTTTCATCGGAATCGAAAGAGATTACTTCAGAAACAGTGTCAGCAGGAATGTTCCAGTAAAGCCAATCGACAGTTGGTCAAGAGGAAGCGGCCGTTGTCTTCTGGTGGAATCGACCTTCGAATCTCCTTTTACCAAACGCATTCACTCGAAATGGAAGTAAGCTCAACAAATGAAGTCAATCCCTTGACGAACTTTCTGCCGAAACGGTCGTGCTATCACTCGTTTTGTACTGGTTCCTCTATCCATTTCCTACCCTCTTGTCTCGCCCTCGTCCTATCACAACTTTTGACCTGTTTAGGTACCACCCCTCGAGAAGTATGCCCTTTTAGCGAATTTACCTTGGCGTCATCACACTTGCTGTTTGTCCGGATCTGCCTCATGGGCTTGTAGATGCGTTTCTTTTCTTTCTGGTTGACCAATTTCATTCGATTCCAGCTCCAGTGTACTTCTTACTCCAAGCGCTATCTCTCACGCCTCCGGTGGCACGTACAACGTTGCCGAACCTTACAAGCTCATAGTCTATCATTCCTATGCTTGCGGATATTATAGATACGAAGAGAAACTTGGTTTCGATGAATCTCCTGAGATAACATTGTTAGGGGACCTTCATTTCAAATGAAAGTACATGAAGAAGAGATTCGTTTTTCGATCTCACCAGATGAAAATCGTTGTACTGCAGCCGTTTAGCTTTTATATTATATTCATGTTGGCGCAGTCCACGAGTATTCCTCCCTCGTTTCGGGTGAAAACGTGCGGATATTAGACATTGTCTTCACTTATCATCTTTTTGAATATAGGTTGAGGATGAAACTCATGCATCTTAGGCCGGAGACTACGACCAAAATAAGGTCCACACTATCTTGGTCTTCGTATCTACGTTTAAGCTATTGGAATTAGAAATCAGCATATATGCCCAATGGGGCCGCTGTCTACATGGTACTAAAGGTTTGAGAAATAGCGCCTGAAGTGAAACGTTTACTTGGACCGGAATCGAGTGAAATCAGTCAATCAGAATTATAAGGAACTAAACTACGGGCCCATGAAGGAGATTCTGATAGGAAGTCCGAGTGAGATCAGCAAATCGGAAGGGAGGGGAAATAAGCTAGTTGGCAGATGTAATGACGCCATACCAAACACACCAAAGAGGACACACTTCAGAGGAGTAGTATATAAATAAGGGAGAAGTTGTGATAGGGTGGAAATGAGATAAGAGAGTATGGAGTAGATAGATGGGCCCAGGCAGGACGAGCAATGATAGTACAACTTTTGGACAGAGAGTTAACAAATAGACTGACTTCATTGTCTTTTTTGGCGAGTTGTAGCTTGGAGCTGAGATTGGCAAGACTCAGTAACGATGTCGGGGAAACGTCTGGGAATGTACCAAGTCCCTGGTCTAATGCTGGGAATTAGCATAACTATTATAGCAGATCATCTCGGACACGGTATGTCAACTAGATCGCCTTAACAACAGGATTAAATTGCGAAAACAAGGTCAGGCCACTGAACTAAATATATATATACGAAAAATCTCCTGAGATTTAAATTACTCTTTAAATCACAAAATGTGAATATCATGTAAATGTATCGTCTCTTAGCCTATTAATAATTTGAAGATTTTAAACATATTTCAAAAGATTCAGGGATCTACTTGACAATTAATTCTAAGATATGAGTTATCCCATCATTAGCGCTTATCCCCAAAGCAGTTTCTAGTTTGTGGTTAGATAAGCTATGAGCAAAAGGAATTTCATATGTACACTACAGTAGAGGGGAAACATCCAGTTAATAAAGATACTGTTGAGATGAGAGTGTAAGAGCCAATATGTAGGCAAATGAAATTTTCTATAGTAAAATTTAAAACACAAAATGTAAAAAGGATTCGAACCGCGAAGACAGAATAGGAAGGTAAAATGAAGGTAGCTATGGTTGTATAAAGGTAGGTAGGTAGGCAGTTCGATATGTAGATAATTCGTTTGATAGGTATGTAATCATCTAAGTTGATAGTTAAGCGATTTAAGCTGTAAGTATGTAGGCAGGTGGATAGCTATGTATTTAGATTGGTATTTTGGTAGGTAGGTAGGTAGATGGATAGTTGTGTTGGCAATTAGTAATTAGCTGGTGAGAAATGTAAGTAGATATGTAAATTGGTGTGTTGGTTGGGATTGTGATATTTGGGCAGGTATGTATATGAGTAAGTATTTAGTGAGAAATATAAATGTAAATGTAACAAGATAGATAACATGTAGGTAATTTGGTGATTAGGCAAGTATCTTGGTTTGCCTGTTATTAGATTGTCAGCAAGGAAGTTAGGTATGTGTTATTATGTAGTTAGCTAAGAAGGTGGCTACTTATGTAGGAGGTATATAACTAAATTTGTTGATAGTCAGTTCCTTATGTAGCTAGTTACTTAAATATGCAAGTATTTTGCTAGGTATTCAGGTAGTTATGTAGATAGACATGTTGGTATACATAGTAATAGGTTGATATTTAGATTATTATGTGTGACTCTAGGTCGTTAAGTGGAATATTAGATAGTTAGTTGGGTCATTTAGAAAGCAGATTGATATAGTTCTCTGATGTTAGATAAGGCTGCTGCTACCTAGTTTTCTTAAAATATTTATCCCCTACGTCACTATATAGATTATTCTTTCCCAGTCTACTTTCGCTATCATATGAATTTTTATTTATGTTGGTACTTGGATACATCGAAATTGGGTAAATATTAAGTTTCACATTTCTACACCATTACATTTAGGGTTAGTTTGCTTTTATGCTTTTTCCATTTTTACGTATATGCACAATAAGTATGTATTCGTGAGACGGATCGGTTGCACTCTAAAGATGACGATAAATATATGAATTCACAGGTCTGTTATTGTGCGTTAGGTTTTATTAGATAACTAAGCCGAAGTATGTGCCGATTGAAGGCAATGGCTGCAGCTAGACAAGGATGCCTTGGCTTGTCATTTAAACTGTTAAGGAGCTATCTATTTAAACGGGTCTCTAGGCCGCCGGATGGGCTTTAAAAAAAGAATGGCAGGAGGCTCTCATGCCAACTTGCAAGTGGGAAATCAGATAAGATCAAGATTCTGCTATTCTGCCCACTAGGCTTCTCTGCCAGGTTGCGCGGATGCCTCTTATATTCTATCGTCTGCTGGATGTTTTGGCCTACAGCCATGCTCTTCCGCGATTCTCGCCGGTTGTCATCATTGTTGCTGCTCCTGAATTTGTTGACTTATTCGTTACAATGTTTTATCTTGTTGTTCCTGCTGTTGCATTGATGTGGCAAATGTAGTCGTCAGTCTGGTTTGACTCACTTCACTCCAGCCTGGACAGGCCTCAAACTGGCCCAAATCGCCCCAACCAGTCCCATCTCTTGGAGCCACTGTCCACATTTCCCATACAATTCTTGTTTTTCCGTCACAACTTGCCGCCACCACATTGCTTGCTTTTGACTGGCTAGTTTACCCTCGTCCCTCCATTCCACCCCTTTTAGAAGTAACCCTTTCCGACTCTGCGCTTACGATGCGTCCGCAATCCGAATTTTTGAGTCCCAGCCCAGCCGACCAGTTGGGTCTGCAACCAGCTGCATAGGAATCTGTAGATGTGTGTGTGCCTGTGTGTGTGTGTATGTGTGTGTGGGTAAGCCAGTAAACTCTACACGTCCCAGTACTTTGCGTCTGTCCAAACTAGGAAAATGTTGCATGCCCGAGAACACATACACCAGTAACTTTTGCGTCCAACTTGGGCCTGCCGCTCGTAACAAGGCCTGTTCCAGAGCCGACCGGGCACACTCAGTCAGACGGTTGGACAGGCCTGATGAGACGCTCTCCGGGCGGAAACACATGGTCAGGGATGCGGGTTCAGCCCTATATGCATATATAACTATATTTATTTGTACTTATATTAGACTTAAAATCCCAATAGTCCATTCAGAGTACATTGTTTGTGTGTGTATAATGAGTACCTAATGATAGAATGCCATAGATTTTTAGCATCTAAATGCAATATCTGCAACCAAATTGCTAGAGGGCATAATTGTGCGGATAAAAGAGGGTAAAGTGAACACTCACAGACGCAACTTGGATGTACATCGGATTTGCAACGGAACTCAAAATGTTGCCTTTTTCGCAAATATTCCCTTCCATTTTCGAACTATACAGGCTTCCAGCTGCTTTGATATTTTGCAGTTCTCACCGGTTGTCACCGTTATTGTTGTTCCTGAATTTGCTTTATCTTATTGCTCCTGCTGTTGCAGTGCATTTAGGCAAGAAAGTTGAAAAAACAATTTGTCTGTAATGTCTGAAAAAATATTCTATGAAAGTTAAGGAAATCTGGAAGGTGTGTATTTATCCTATTTCGTTCAAGGTGACAAGGGTGCTGGTAGTTGAATTATATGCATAGACCTTATGTTTCCTTTCTATTTCCTAAAGCCTTGCTTTGTCAAAAGGTATTCTCATCCATAGTGAACTGCAGGTTCGAGTTCGCAGAAACAACTGGACTTGAACCATGTCAGTGCAAGGCATAATCTCAAAAATTTAGTCACTATGTTACAATACCATGAGTGTCTCTGAGTCACAGGGTAGATGTGAATTTCAAGGGAAATCAGGCATTTTCCCATATCATATTTCGTGGTGGGATTGCCGATGAAGCAAAGTTGTATTTGCTATAGCAACCGACTCTATTACTTAGTTTTCATGGTTTCACTCCGCTGGGGATGCTAACGATACCTATCACCTTAAGCCAAAGAAGGTGAATAAACCTGGTCGACTGGTAGTCGCGAAAGCCCACTTGAAAAATTTGAAAGTGGTCTGCTAAAGTACTATTATGAAAAAAGCGTTTACCCAAAAGAATCGCTATAGACTAAACCAAAATATAAACCTTATTTCCTTGTAAAAAACGGTTTACATACTCCATACTTCCGAAAGCACTATAAAGTATTATTCTATATAACATTACTGAAGCGACAGACATGCTTCAAATGTGTGAAAATAGTCTCGAAAAAGGACAGAAGATGCCAAGATCTACTTAAATATTTCGCAAATTCGTCGGCTTTGTTGCTCCCGAGAGCCTTGGTTGCTAGAGTGCCGACGTATTGCATGGACAAAGCTGGGCAATTAGATTAGCTTGGACGCAACTTCCTCGGAGTCGTCATTTAATTCAAGAATGTATTAGGAAATATTTCATTCTGGGACTCGTGCAGCAGGTCTTCAGCTAACCTAAAGCATGAGACGGTCTGAGAAACATTAATCACTTGAAATGTGGTAGCTGGATCCACGCCCAGAGAATTAATGTTGGGGCTTTCATTTCGTATTAAAGTAGTGTTGATGAAGATATTCGTTGCTTGGCCTCACCAGAAGATAAGGGTGGATGTTTCGTGGACTGCGCCAAATTAAAGGTCATATTAGAGCTAACCAGCTGCAGAACAAAGAGAACTTGAAGTCGTATTCTGGTGAGATCAGCCAAGGAATCTCTTCATTATGCACAACAATTTTACCTCAAGAGATTAATCGAAACTCAGCTACTCTTCGTATCTACAGAGAAGTGTTATCTCTAGCAGTGCATTGCGTCAAAGCCGGGATAGCCGAAGTCCATGCCGAAGTCGAACAGGACAGGAGATGTGTCTTTGTGAGGCAAAAGGCCCGTATATGAAGGTATTCTCCTCAACCCACCTTCTGGATACATGCCAGATGCCGGAATGTACAGAATAAATGGGACAATTTTGACAAATTCCCATTTGCCATACACTTCTTGCTAGTGGCGACGACAAAAAATAGTTCATCGATGACTTGTAAGGCCAAGGGGCGAGACAAGAAATTCCCATCCAAAGCTAGTACTAGTGACGCTTTCAATAAGTGGTACATGCTTCGCTGAAATTGGACTCAATGAAGTAAAGTTATGCAGGATTGGGCTCACATTAATTTTCCGAGTAGCTTATCGAAATTTAGGATCTTACACTCGAATGACATGTATGCAAAATCTGCATACCATTGTCCAAACCGACTTAGTGTCGAGATGCCGACGGTGTCCTGGTCGTCTTAAGAAGTTGAGATGGATTGCCTCAAGGGTCAGCTGATTTTTACGCAGCTGGCTGGTGAAGAAGGAAAATAATTAACTGCTTCTACAGAACAGTTTCGTGAGGAGTGGTCCGTGCAACAGATGAACGCAGACTTGCCCATCTGTACGACTCTCGTCTTCATCGTCACGCAGACCTAGGGCTGCTGCCT